GTTCACCTTCCCTGAAGCTCCTAAAGTTAATTCTCTAGAATCCCTATGGGCCTCCAAAAGGTTGACCATGAAACAAAGTTGACTAGGTACTCTGTCACCAAAAGGATTTATTCAGGAAAAAAAAGGATTGCAAACTGGTACATGCATACATGATAAGCCATGTGTACAAAAATAGAAGAATTACTTTATAGAGAGGAAGAGGGAGTTTAGGGGAGAGTTTGTTAACAACCATAGAGCTCTGTTGTAAACATAGAGTTCTTCCTGTATGGCTCTCACAATGACATAGGTGTGATAGCTCTTCTCACAGCTCTTCCTGATTTCTGTCCAGGTAAGGTCTCTGTCATAAATTTTAACAGTTAATTTAACATTTAATAAAACCCTGAAGGAGGTGATGGAGCCATGTAATTTGCAGGGAAGAGATTATATAGCCAGGAAGAACTAGTGCAAAGACCCTGAGGTGAGATTGTGCCTGGTATGTCCAAAGAGCCACAAAGTGGCCAGTGTGACTGAAAGGATGTGAACAAAGGGGTAGAGGAATGGAGGTTAAGTTCAGAGATGTAATAATGGGGGACCAGAGCCTGTAGGTAGGGCATTGCAGGCTGTGGTGAGGTGGGAGCCAGTGAAATCTGAGTCAAGAAGGGACATGATCTGATTCAGGTTGTAAAGGAGCATCTTGGCTGTTCTTCAGGCACCCCCCGCCCCGGCCCCAGTTTCATTAAGGTATATTTAACACATACCCTTGTATCATTTTAAAGTATATAACGACTTGACTTATGTATATCATTAAATGATTACCACAATAAGTTAGCATTCATCATCTCACATAGAAAAAATAAAAAGCAAAAACAAAACAATTTTTTCTTTGTGATAAAAACTCTTAGGATTTAACAACATTCCTATATACCATACAGCAGTGTTAGCTGTAGCCATCCTTTGTTGTTCATTACATCCCTAGTACTTACGTATCTTATATCTGGAAGTTTGTATCTTTTGGCCAATTTCCTCTAATTCCCCCCACCCCCCGGCCCCCCCACCATCCGCCATCTCCCACTTGTGGTAGCCACAAATATGATCTGTTTTTTCCTTATGAGTTTATTGTTGTTTTTTTAGATTCCACATATAAGTAAGATAATTCAGTATTTATCTTTCTTTGATCACTAGTTTTGGACCAGCTGTGTGCCAAAGCTTCCTTGTGTGCTGAAGCTGCTATGGATGTATCTTTGTTTTGGAGCTGCTTCTGACATTTTGGTGTGGTTTTCACTCAGAGGATGGGGAACATTGGGCTGGAGTGTGTGAGGAGTGAAAGGATGGATAATATGCAGACAGATGGATAAATGCTATGAATGTGCTGGGCTCCCATATTCACAGAGAGAAGACGATGAGTCACTGAACCCTCCAGACCTGTGTATAAAAACTGTTGAAGTCCACCTGTTTTGCCAATGCTGGTCAGAGTTGTCACATAGGTTCAGACAGTGCAGAGCATCTCATCACCATCTTCATCCTCAAGACAAGTCTCCTCTAAATCCGGGCCAAGCCTGGGTCTGGGTCCTGGTGCCAGTAGGAGCTGCATCCCTGGCACTGAGAGGGTGCACAGGGATGGCCCCAGGATCCAGGGGACCAGCAGGGGCATGGACTTAGGAGCCAAGACCCACAGCATTCCAGAGAGTCCTAGGTATGAGTTCCAGCTCTAGCAGGGTCCTCAAAGAGCAGCAGGGGAAAGGCTCTCCACCTTCCAGGCCAGAAGGGGACAGGATGTGAGCTCTCTGCCAGTCGCTGGGTTGTCTGGAAGATGCCCTCCCTGCCTCACCGTCTCTTCTCTCCTTACCAGCTGTGTGACCTGGGATGATATTTTGGTTTCTGAGAGTCTGTTTCTTCATTTGTAAAATGCTTCGCTGAGGATCCAACAGTAGTGTGGGTTAAAGTGCATAGCAGGGTGCTTGGCACCTTCAGTTCATGTGTTTCTCTGGGGCAAGTCACCCTGAGCCTCCGTCTTCCTATCTCTGAATTGAATGCGAACGCGTCCCGGGATTGCTGCGGAGTACAGAAGACCGTGGAGAACTGCTCTGTCTTCAGGAAAGTGCCCCAGAGTCGGGTGTCATAGATTTGACGCAGGGACCAGCGGACCTCCTCAAATTTCTCAGACCATTCCAGAGGTAGCGCAGCGAGCGCACACTTTTCCGGGGTAACTGTGATTCCTCAGCGGAAAGCCTGTACCGTATTTCTCCAACAATACACTCCCCAAAGGCAGATGCCCTTCTTTACCGGCGTTCAACAGGGAGACAATGCGGCCAGTCCTGGGCTGCTGGTGGGAGTTGGGTGGAGGGCAGACCTGGCCAGGGTTCATGGTTACCCCCTCTCCCAGTACTCCCCTCCCGGCGTCCAACCCCGCTCTTCCTGCACTTCCGGGCTTTATCAGGGTTTTCGCAGGTCCCGAGGCCTGTCTCACCTTCTCGCTTGGGGACTGAACTTTAGAAGCTCTGCTAGTCCACCACCAGGGATGGGGAGCCAGGACGTGGCGGTGGGGATGGATACCAGGGCCCTACCACGCAATTGCGGAGCGCGCGGAGCGGAGGGCTCGAGAACGCAAAGCGCGCAGGCTGCGCTGGGTGCCGTGAAGCCAGGGGTGGGGCCGGAGGCGGGGCCGGAGCGCGTGACGCGCGACGCGGGCCAATGGCGCGCGCGCCCGAGGCCGAGCCTCCTGCGAGCCTTCTCAGCACTCGCGGCGTCACGTGAGCCGAGGGGAGTGAGCGTCCAGCGAGCAGCGGCTGACTAGTGGTCCGCCGCAGCTACTCGCGGGTCAGCGGGCGAGTGAGTGAGAGTCCGATCGGCGGCTCGGCCCGCGGCCGCCGCCGGACCCGGAGCCAGACCGCTGCCCACAGCCTAGCTCGCTGGGCCTCAGGACTGCCGGGGCCGGGCCACCGGCCGGGCGTGAGCCAAGTTCAGGTGGGAGAGGCGCGGCGAGGCCGGACGGCCGCGTGGACGCGGCCCCAGGCGTTCAGGGTGCTGACCGGGACGCGGAGGGGGTGGGCCCTGGCTCGCTTGTGGGCGTATGGCCGGGCGCCCGCGCCCTTGTCCCAGGCTCCGCGAGAGCGTCCCAGGAAATGTCGGAGGAGCGGGCTGGCCCTCCGCTTGGTCTGTGGGGGTCTGACAATCCGGTGGGAGAGTGACTCTCAGTTGCCCACTGGCAATTTTCCGGCGGAGGTCCGGGTCACCGCCACAGCGCCTGGCCCCTCCTGTCTGCGCTCGCCTTGCAGGCCTGCCCTTCCATATGGCGGGCACTCGGCGGAGCCTGGCGAGAGGACCGGGTAGGCGGACATACCGGACAACCCGGGCCTGGGGGGATGGGAGACGGAGGGGCTTGTGGCGGAGGGGTTACTGTCGGTCAGCAGCCGGGGCCTGGTAGGGTGGGGGCTCAGGCCGAGGGCATGGTGCCCAGCAGGCAACGCTCTGAGGCTCCGTCGAGGGGTCTAAGCGGGCTCCCCAACCCCTCCCTTTCCCACACGCGTTCACACACACACACAGACACACACGGGCGCGCGCGCACGCGCGGGCACCCACGCTGTCTCCACGCGCGAGTACGTCGCGGACACACTCGTACATAGGCACACCGGCTGCCATGCACCACGCCCGCACACGCACAGTCACAAGACATGAACTTAACACCCCATCGTGTACACTCACTGATCGAACACCTCTTAACTCCGACTACCCACTCAGTCTCCTGGCCAGTTCAACTGAACATTTGCAGAACAATCCCCGAGGAATGGCGGTGACGGGGGCAGATATGAGGTCACCCCTACCCTTCCTGGGCCATGTTCCCTTTTCCCTCCTCACTGTTGTATTCCCTATGGAACCCCTGCCCTCTCCCCGCCAGCACTCTTGAGCAAAGAACTGTTTCTCGCCCAATCCCGGGGTGTGTGTGGGGGGGATGACAAAACTACCAAATGCCCAAAGCCCTCAAATCACCACCTGGGCTAAGGACGTAGCTGGTGGGGCCACCCTACAGGTGGGGGGAGGGTTGGTGTGGCGATGGGGGTGGGGAGGGCTCGGCGACTTTTGGTCCTGCTGGCTGCGCGGGTAGCAGAGACTCTTATTTTGAAGAGCGGCCCCCTCCTGCCACCCCCGTGATTTGCACGCTGACCCAATGGCAAGCCCTTGGCCAGCGCTGGGCTTGTTATCAATTACATGTTGTTCCTGCAGCCACTGTGTCCCCGGGAGGATAAACAGCAGGCCTGGCGGGGCAGGGGGGGAGTAGTGGCGGGGGTGGGGGGGCCGGAGTCCGTGTTGCCTGCCTGGACGGTGCCCGGAACAGTGCGTCCCCTCCCCCTGCACGCGGCCTGCGCCCCTGGCCTCCCTGGCCATGCCACGTGCTGCTGTGTTTTAGTGGCTGGAGCCCCACCCTGGCGTGCGCCCTCTCAAACAACATAGCCCAGGGCAAATCCAGAGTCCCTTCTAGTCTGTAAGTGCCTCAGCGTCCAGCCCAGGCTGCTCAGCCCTTCATTTGCAACGCTGCTGCTTGACCCTGGCGGTTCTGCAACAGATCTCATTCTATCCCCCAGAACCCCACTTCGACCACTTTCTGACTTCCCACAGCAGCGCCTTTCAGTCACTCCATCAGCAAAGTTTGTCAGGTCCTGTTTTAGACTCTGGGATACAGAGGTAGAATGAACAGTCAGAGCAGCTTATATTCTGGTGGGGAGGTAGACAGAAAATAAAGTACACAAACACATAACTAAGATAGCTTCCCATCATGGCAACTGTTAATAAGAATATAGTATGGGATGATGTAATAGTGAATGGTCAGGGGAGTCCCCTGCTGGGAGTGACTTCTGAGCTGACTTGGAAATAAGTAAGGTACTCCTACTTGGGTGCTGTGGGAGGAGGAATCCACAGAGAGGGCAGCCAGGGGGTAGTGTCCTGAGGCCCATGAAGCTGGTGAGTTTGGTGCACAGCTAGTGTGGAGTGAAGCAGATGGAGGTGAGATATGGGAGAGATGAGCAGGGCCCAGGTGCTGGGTGCTGGGAGGAGGCTGAGTCACATTTCCTTGGGAAACTGTTGAAGGTTTCCTCCCACCTTACCCTACTGTACTTAGTTATTTCCCTTACTTTTTCTTTTTATATCATTTCATCTGTGAATATCTCAGTTTATATCTGGAAAAGGAGGGTCTCCTTTAAAAAGAATGTACCAATTATAATACCATCATCACACTTAAAAATATTAGCTGTAATTCCTTGATATTATGGAATATTCAGCTGGTGATCACATTTTGGGGAGAATTTTAAGTGGTCAGGAAGATGGTCTGATCTGCTCGTTCCCACCAGTGATGGCCTCATTCCAGGTTCCAGGAAGGCTGGAGTCCTCTGGATTCCTTACCATCACAGCAGAGGGGTAGAAAGACCATATGCTCCCCTATTTGGAGGCTAATCCTAACGGCTGGTACTGACCAGCCCTGTGTGTGTGCCACCCCTATAGTAACTGCTCAGCATATATTAGCTCATTGGATTCAAAACAACCTGGGAACTAAGCACTGTTGGCAGCATCCCCAATAGACTAAGACAGACAGAGAGACATTGTGCCACCTGCCCGAGATCATCCACCCAGCTGATAGCTGCAGAGGTAGGAGCTGAGCCCTCTGCTCAGACAGTGGGTAATGGGTAAGGGAAGCCTAGGATCAGGTGTGGGTTTTGCCCAGCCTCATTGTCCTTTACATTATTTGGTGCTTTTATTCCTTCTTAGCATGTGATTTGGTGAATAGTATGTATTTTAAAACACGCAGTTTTAAGTTCTAAGCTGAGTATTTTAACCAAAAGCCAAATGTCCTGGCAAAATTGCCCAGGAGTACAGACTTGCCAAGGGCATCCACCTTGCCTTGTTTCCTGGAGCTCTGTGAAGCTTCCCAGATGAGTGGAGAACTGAGGTCAAAGGTCCTGGGGTTACTGGGGGCATGGAACAGATGGGGACCCTGAGATTTGGGGAAAGCCAGGACTTGCTCAAGGTCACAACTAATGATGACTGGCCCTGCAATTTCTCTGCCCAGGACTGGGCCTCTTGAGCTTTGGGCAGTCTAGGTGCCAGTCCCAGTTGTGGTCCTGGAGATAGAGCATGGGTGTGGGTGCAGAGGCAATGCCAGGCAGCAGGGAATCTCTGGCTTCAGGTGCAGAATATCCCCAACCTCAATAAACACCTAGTCGTGGTCACTGGGTGGGAACAAAGGTCCTCAGAACTGGCCCTGTCACAGACTGACACTGTTGACTCTCCTTGGACACCGGACCTAGCATGGCCTTCAGAGGACACAACTTTCCCCTCTCCTCTCTGTTGACATTCTCTGAGCTCCTCCTGGGCACCAGCTGCCACACTGGGAACTGGGGACACAGCAGCTACCCTACAACCCAGCCTGCTATCATGGAGAGTGAGGTCTAGTCGGGAGACAGGAGTTAGCTGGATCTCTTCGAGGTTGTGAGTGCTCTATGGGTGCAGGCCAAGGGTGTTTTCTCTATGGGCCCATTAGGTGTTGTGAAGTCACATGAGGTAAGATCTGTCCCAGTGCTTTGGGTCCACCTCTGCTCCTGTGAGTTCTCCCAGTGACTAGGGCCTTGTCCTCTTAGTGGTAGGGCCTCAGTAAAACATCTGATTTTTCAGGCTTGTCCCTCTTCCCTCCTTTCATAGAGGAGGTAGCAAGCTCAGAAGTGTCCGGAAGCTGGAGGGTGGATGAACTGCCCGTTCAGAAGAGGAAACAGGGCCGGTGAGGGCTGGTGCAATGGGTGTTTATTTATTTATGTTTTTTTGCCACAAACTAATTAAATTACACACTGTCCAATTAAATTTGAATTTCACATATAATATTTTAATTAAGCCCTATCCAATATTTGGGATATACTTATATTAAAATTTCAAAGTTGGTAATTTTTTAAAATCTGAAATTCAAATTTAACTTGGCAGCTTGTATTTTTATTTGCTCAATCTGGCAACCCTACCCAAACCCCAACAACACAAGGGTCAAAGGGCAAAAGACTATTTTTCTCCCCCCTCTAGTGACTCAGCAGGAATGAAGGTGAGGTCAGATGTCCCTAGAAAAGTAGCAACTCTGATTAACTGGACAGGGTTTCCCAAACTTGGCTGTTCCGAGGTGCAGAGAACCCCTTCACATACCGACTTTCTTGCTCACATGCACTCATACTCATTCACAGACACACATGTTCTTTCCCAGAATTGTTCTGGAAAATCTGTTTGAAAGCAAAAGTGCCCCAGGTTGTGCAATGGGCTTGGAGAGCACTCTTGCAAACAGGTGGTGCAATTTCGGAAAACACTCTTGGAGAGAAAGTTATCCCAGGGTATGGATGGCGGCAGGGTCCAGGCATTTGGCAATGGGAGATGATGGGTAGGTGGTGGTGGTGGTGGTGAGGCACAGGCCCACGAGGTGGCAGGTGAATGTGATGTCCTCCTGATTGGCCCTTCGTTGTTCCTCTCCACAGCCACCAGTGGCACGGCCAGGCCAGCATGGTGGACCACTTGCTTCCAGTGGACGAGAACTTCTCGTCGCCAAAGTGCCCAGTTGGTTATCTGGGAGATAGGCTGGTAGGTGGGAGGGGGTACCACATGCTGCCCTCACCCCTCTCAGAAGACGACAGTGACGCCTCTAGCCTCTGCTCCTGTGCCAGCCCTGACTCGCAAGCTCTCTGCTCCTGCTACAGCAGTGGCCTGGGCACTGAAGGCCAGGACAACATCTTGGACTTCCTGCTATCGCAGGCTACTCTGGGCAGTGGTGCCAGTGGTGGCATTGGGGCCAGCAATGGTCCTGTGGCCTGGGAGACCTGGCGAAGAGCACCAGCACCTGTGAAGGGAGACCATTTCTGTTTCCCGGAGTTTCCTGTAGGTGACCCCGATGATGTCCCAAGGCCCTTCCAGCCCACCCTGGAGGAGATTGAAGAATTTCTGGAGGAGAATATGGAGCTGGGGGTGAAGGAGGCCCCAGAGAACAACAAGGACTTGGAGGCCTGCGGTCAGCTCTCAGCTGGGCCACACAGGAGCCACCTCCATCCTGGGTCTGGTGGGAGAGAACGCTGTGCTCCCCAACCAGGTGGTGCCGGTGTGGGTGACACTCAGGGCCCAGGTGGGGGTCCTGCACCTGATGGCCCTATCCCCTTGCTGCTGCAGATTCAGCCTGTGCAGGTGAAGCAGGAATCAGGCACAGAGCCCTCCTCCCCTGGGCAGACCTTGGAGAGCGTCAAGGTAGCGCAGCTCCTGGTCAACATCCAGGGGCAGACCTTTGCGCTCCTGCCCCAGGTGGTGCCCTCCTCGAACTTGAACATGTCCTCCAAGTTCGTGCGCATCGCCCCTGTGCCCATTGCTGCCAAGCCCATTGGATCCGGATCCCTGGGGCCTGGTCCCACTGGCCTCCTCATGGGCCAGAAGTTTCCCAAGAACCCAGCAGCAGAACTCATCAAAATGCACAAATGTACTTTCCCTGGCTGCAGCAAGATGTACACCAAAAGCAGCCACCTCAAGGCCCACTTGCGACGGCACACAGGCGAGAAGCCCTTTGCCTGCACCTGGCCGGGCTGTGGCTGGAGGTCAGTATGTTAGGTGACAGGCTGGTGGTGAACACTGCCCCTTATCTTTGTTCCTTTGAGTGTGCAGGCAAGGCTGAGTTGTTCACCATTAGATAAGACTGTCTAGGAAGGGGCTAAGGGTAGGCAGGGGGCAGGGCCAGAGCTAGCATGGCTGCTCAGAGGTTTCCTTATTCCTCCTGACCACTAAAGCCAGGAAACAACCGGTCTCCGGGTAAGGTTGCTGGACCTTGCGCTTAGAGTGAGGAGGCTGAGCCAGGGAAGGAGGGCTTTCATAGTCATAACATGGACAGTTGAGAGTGATGGGGCAAGGGTTATGTGCCAGAGGGGCTTCAACTGTGTGTGCATGGCTCCCTCTGCCTCACAGCATGCCAAAAAGTAAGTACCACCCTTACTCCCATCTTACTGTTGAGCACACTGAGGATCGGATCAGCTACATAACTTGCCCAAGGTCACGCAGCTTTGTAAATGGGGTTTGAATCCAAGAGGTTATTATCAGAGTAGTCACATCCTGAAAATGCTGTTTCCCAACCAGAGGGAACAGCTTCCCTTATAGCCATCTCTGGGCACATGGGCTGGGCCCAGCCCATGCTTCCCTGGGGGACCTAGAGGTGTGTTGGAGAAGCCACAAAGGACAACCACAAGGGAGGACCCAGCTGGGTGTCCTGACCCAAAGGTAGAAGACCATTTCCAGGCTAAAGTGTGTGTGGCACAGTGGGAGAAACAAACTCTTAAAGGACAGGGCTCTTTTCAGGGTTATCCAGCACTTAGGCAGCTTCGCTGGATGGGACCCCATGGATCTCCCCCCCTGGGCCCCAGGTGCCACTCACCTTCTTTGGGAGGGCATGTCCACCTTTCCTTAAAAGTAGATAGCCAGGAGCTTGGCCAGGAGCTCAGCCTGGAGCTTGAATGCTTAGGGGCGCCACAGCTGGGCTTTCCCCCGTTTAGGATGACCAGTCCACTGGTATCTGGCCTACTTGGGAAGGCGGCTGTGCTACTGGCCCATTCCTGGGCTTTACTGCTGTGCCTCATGCTACATGTGTGAGTGTATGAGAGCGCTGTGGCACACTCATTTTTGTCCAGAATAGGATCTTATAAGTGAACATGTGTGTATGCGTCTTGGCTTTTGTGTGTCTCTGTGTGCTCCATGACCATATATATCTGTGCACCCTGTCTGTGCTGTGTGCATCCATGCTGGTGTGGCTCACAGGAAACAGTTTGCAGCTTTTGTTTGTTTGACCAGTCTCTTGTCTGAGAGCTTGTGAGAGTCAGTCCCAAGGTGGAAGGTGCCACTTCTGGAGTCCTGGCTAGCCCAGGACAGGAGCTATGGCTGGAATGTTTGCTGTGATGCTGGCAACCCCTTTCCATGGGAGCCCAGAACTGACCAGGGAAGGGATTTGTCCCAACAGCATCTTGGGTTATGGAGGCCCTTCCTGGGTGTAGGCATCCCCAACCCCCAATACCCCAAAGGTGCCAATCAGCAGACCCACAGAGCTTCAGTGGGAGGCCGTGCTCCAACCCCTCAGCTCTGAATGTCAGTGCTGGTGTTGCATGCCTCTCTGAGCCTTGTACTGCAGTTTACCAAGTAGGCCCTTGGGTAACAGGTGTATGTTCAGGGCAGCTTGTGAGGCCTGGTGAGGCAGCTTGTAGGGAGCGTTGGGTAGTTAGAGCTTAGGGCAGGGAAGAGGTCAGAGACATGGGGCTTCAGAAGCAGGTGCTCTACTGCAGAAGGGAAAGGCATTGAGATGCCTTGGGTGGGAGACAGCTGGCTGCAGTGGTTGGAAGCCCCAGCCCTGGTCAGTCTCCAACTTGCTTTATGCCTTTGGGGTAGTCCCCCTGCCCAAGCCTCAGTTTCCTCATTTGTAAAGTGGAGGGTCTACTTACTACCTTGGATGCAGGGGTGCTCAGAAGCACCCTTATCAGTGGTGGTGTCACACTCATACAGGGTCAGAGCCTGAGAAGGGCAGGTTTGCTGCCTGGCCTTCAATGCAGGAGGTACTGCAGCTCAGTGGCACCCCCAGACTCACAGGAACTCCTCTTGGATGCATTTTTCTGTTGGTGAGGAGCAGGGCTAGAGAGAGGTTAGGTAGTTAGCTTGGCAGAGCACTGCTCTGACTCTCACGTTGGGCTTATCTTCCTAGGAATCGTCCCCTGGCTGCTGATGAGTGTTTGCAAGTGGCCCCTCCAGTTGGGATAGGACTAGGTGGGGCCACAGAGAGGAAGGGTGTGGTCTTTGGTCAAGGCTGCCCAATTGGCCCACTCCCCCAGGAAGCGGAATCTGCCTTCTTCCAGCCTGTCTCAGAAAGCAGAATGGACCCTTAGCCCAAAGTGCATCTTAGAGAGGCAGATCTCAGCCCCAGCATGGTATCCTTAGGGGATAGTAAGTTATCCATGGCAGGAGGTGTGCAAACAAGAGTGGGAATTATGGAGGGAATTCAGCTCTGTCTAAGCCTTGGCATTGGTCATCTTGCTCAGGATTCACTTGACAGGGAAAGGCATGGTGGGTGCCTGGCATGGTGAGGTCCCTGCAGAGTTGACCCTGGAGCCATCCCTGCCTCCAGCCACTCCTAGAACTTCAAAGGGCATTTTCAGCTTCTCCAAAGGTTTCCCAAAGCGGGGTCTGGCCTTGGTAGATTCACACATGGCAGAAGCATTGGGAGGCTAGGGTGCCCACCTCTTGCGAGGGCTGTGTCTCTGAGGATTTGAGAGTCCCCAGTTGGCCTTCAGGGATTCTGATCCCTTGGGGAAATCAGAATCCCTGAAGACCAACTGGGGACTCTCAAATCCCCATGCATGTCCCACATGCATGTCCCTTATATGTGGTCATAGCCTTCAACAGAGGGTCAAGGGTAGAGAGAGCCCTTGTAGCAGTTAGGTAGGAGAACAGACCTGGCTTTGAGGCAGCTTGGTCTGGACAGAACAGGAGAAATGATGATGATGATGAGGTGTCATATTTGCTGACCACTTACTGTATGCTAGACACTATTCTAAAGTTCTAAGAACTGGAGTCCCCTCCTCAAGGTAACCTTGCTTGCATACCTCTTGCCATGGGGAACTCATTACCTCATGAGGCTACTCTAGCCTTTTTGCATATTTTGGTACATTTAAGCTTCTATCCAAACTTCTCATTCTGGCCCACAGGCCTACATAATCTGCTTGCTGACCTCCCCGCAGGCTCCCACTTGGGCATTGGCCCTCTCTGTGCCCTCTGTCTGCAATGCTTTTCTCACAGAGGTAGCTATAGTTGGTCTTATGACGGTCTCTGCTTTGTTCAGCATATGTCACAATCATTAGCTCACTAAGTCCTCACAATAGCCTTGGGACATATAAAGCACCAACCTGCATTTTACAGAGGGGAAATGGAGGCCCAAAAAGCCTGCAGGGACAGAGCTAGTGAGTGTGGTTCTGGGTGTACACCCAGGCAGTGCCTCAGCCCCACCCTGGCCTTCAAGTGGTATGGCAGGTATGCTTCTCCCACCTGGAGACACTTGGAGCCATGAACTGACTTTTCCCTCATCTTCTCTCTCTGTGCACCTGGTACTATAATGGCTAGTGTCTTCTCTTCACCACAGTGCCATCAGCCTTTTCAGATGTCATGGGTGAGGGGAAAAGAGCGAACAACAGCAGCAATAATGATAGAAGTAGCTCCTCATGTGTGCTAGGCACTGCTCTGAATGCACCAAATGCAGTAACTCATGTAATGCTCCAAAAAAGTCCATGAGATGTGCATCAATATGTTGTCCCCATTTTACAGAGGAGGATATGAGGCACAGAACATTTAAGTAAGTTCTCCGCGTTACACAACTAGTGAGTGGCAGAGTCAAGAGTTCACCTTGGGCTTTCTGCCCCCCAACTCCCCACATCCCAAATAAGAACCTCTCTGCAGCCCCTTTTGCAAGCTTCCAGGTGGGTGTGGCCTGCTAGAGTGTTGAGAGGACCTCCACCTGCAGCTGGTCTTCAGGGTGGCACCCCTGCACTCTTGCTTGCCTCCCCATGTAGGGATCACTGCAATCTCAACGTTGCCTCTCTTGTTCCTGCTGGTCCTGGTGAGCAGACCTCTTCCTCCTACCAGGCTGGTTATGACCCTGGCACTCTGTCCTGTGCCCTACCCTTTGCACCTTTGTGTGATGAACAGTGTCTCTCCCTGCAACCCCCTCCCTATTGTCACTTGCCTACTTCCTTCTACCCTTGGTCCTGAATCCAGTGTTCCCTGTCCCTTTTCCTCTTGTGTCATGGTTCTGGCTGGCACCCTTGACAGGGCTGAAACCAGACTTTCCCTATTCTGAGCTAGCTGTCTGGGAAGTGGCTGCTTGCCTGCCTTCCTAGAAGTTTCCTTGCTTCACTCTCAAACACAGGTCTTCTTTGTTCCCTGCAGTAGAACATCCTGTTCCAGCACGGTCAAGCAGTTCTGTCCAGAAAGAATCCCTTCCTGCTACAGCGAATATGAATATTAATAACTTTCAGCAGCCCTATGTGATAGGTACTATTGTCATCCCCAGCAGATACAGCAGGCCCAGAAAAGGGGAGCTGCAGGCCTGAGGCCACAGAGCCAGGAGGTAACAGGGACAGGAGTCAAGCCCAGTGGTCTGGCTGCTGGCCTGCTCTCTTGGTCTGTGTCGCTGCTGACCCTACTTGATGAGGCATTTTCTGACCCCATCCCTGCAGTCAGCAGAGTGCCCAAGTGTGGTTGGACAGGTTGTGCACTGCACAACTCTAGGGGGTGCCATTCTTACTGGGATCCTTGAGACCTGACTTTCCAGTCATGGCTTTCTGGCTGATGGAAGGGGTGCCTTCACATAAAGGTGCTCTGTGTACCAGTGGTGGTGTTGATGTTACAAGCTGCTCAGGAGAGCCACCTGGACCTCTCTGCTTCCCTGACCTGCACCTCAGCAACACAAATCAAGAGTAACCACCCCCACACTCCAGGGCCTTACCAGAGTCCACGCCCTGTGCTAAGCTCCTTGCTAGTAACAAGAGTTCACAATTGTTGGATGATTGCCATCTGCCAAGCACTGCTGTAAACACTTGTTGTCTTTTACAGTCCTCTGAGGCAGATCTGTCCATGTCACTACCTGTTTTTAGGTGGGGAAACTGAGCCTAGGGGAGCTTGCCAATTTACCCAGATTGCTAGTCAGTATGTGCCTACAAAAGCTGCATCTCAGCCCCCTGATCCCTCCCTCTCTGTAGCCCCCAGGTCTCACCGGTGCTGCTCTTTGGGACATTGTGGGTAAGGCTGTTAGGCAGGGATCTCCTGAGTGTTCAATTCCCAGGGACGGGACTCATCAGAACATAGGACCCTTTTAGGCAGTAGAGAGAGGGCTTGCAGGTGGGAACAGCTTCTTCTCAGGCCTGACTTTCCTTTGGTGTCCCCATGATGATGGGGGCCCTGTGGCCCTGTGTCACTGCCTTTGGCCTCTAAGACAAGTTCTGGAAGGTGGACAAGAATACCAAGGTTTTCACTGGATGAATGAGAAAACTGAGGTCTAAGATGGTTCTTAAGTTTGCTCAGGACCATGCAGGGCTCCCAGTCAGAAGGAGACCTGAGCAGATCCTGCTCTTCTGCTGCTGTGTGACCCTGGCACGTCTCTTGTCCTCTTTGGGCCTTTACTGTGGTATTGTCAGTCTGATGGGGCTGATCCTGGCTCCCTGGAAGGTGCAGGTGCTCCCAGTGCCTGGTGCCTGGGAAGGCTCTAGCTCTGTCAATGGCATTTCCTGAAGCTTTCTGCTAGCCTATGCCTTGGACTGGCCCACTTGCTCAGAAGCTGTGTGTCCAACTCCAGCTGGGGCCACATGGCCCTGGCCCAGAAGCACAGGTCCAGCCTCTGACTGTCAGGGCCTGTTGATAATGCTTCCTCCCTGGCACAGGGCACTAGTGGCACATACTGCCCAGCCAGGCTTTGTGGATGTGGTCAGGCCCTCTGTGGCCACCAGGATGGGCAGGATACAACAGAGACCTGTACCAGGACCTTTGCTCAGGCCTTGGCAGCTTTGTCCTTTCCTGTGACCCTGGATCAGGCCCTCATCACTTTTGAGTCTCAGTTTCCTCACCTGGCAAACGGGCCAGGTGGTCTTCCTTTATTCTGAAAACACATAGAAAGCACTGCTGTGTGCCTGCAACAATTGGTGCTTTGGGATGAGGGTAGAAGAAACCTGGTCAGGCTCTAGGGGCAGGGCCCTGTGCACCAAGGGGTGGCTGAGCCAGGCTGAGGCACTTGTCTTCCCTGCATCTGGGCCTGACTCCCCATCTCTTCTCAAGCCCTCCTGCTGCCCACTTGAGCCTTCTCCAGGACTTGTCCTGCTGGGTCCTCCTTCAGCTTGGCAGGCTATGGAATCAAGACTTCCACCCACAGGGTTAGACCAGAGGTGGGTCATCACCACCTACTCATAAGCAAGGCTGAGGACAGCTGTTCCAGGGTTACCACCTAACCTACCTCTCAGTTTGTGGCCCCAGGTCTAGGAATGGGGATGTTTGGCGTGGCACTCCTGTGTGTGTGCATGTATGTGTTCATGTAGGTACACACACATCCCTATGTGTGATGTGTGTATGTGCATACCTGTGCACACAGGTGTGGAGTTGGTGACATGCATGTATGTGTGAGTGCACATCTGTGCAGTGCATCCAGGTCTGTGGCATACACATGCACATAATGTTCATGCACATGTGTGTGGTATGTGCATGCATGTGGGTGCATGGATGCACTAGGGCTTGAGAGGACTGTCCTTATGATAGTTCTCCATCCTCCTGTGGGTGCCCATTGTGTCTACTCTTTCATGTAAATGCACGTATGGAGCAGCTACCATGCAACTATGTAGACATGTCTTTCCTCATGGAGCTAGCTGATGGTCTAGTGGCACAGACTGACATTAGTCAAAAAGTTGAAAATTAATTTAAAATTGCAACAACTGTGGCAGGTGCTAGGAATGAGAGGTACATTGTGCTGTGAGAGCCTAAAATGATGTAGTCCTGGAGGGCTTTCCTGAGGAAGTGACATTTGAACTGGGCTCTAAGGGACGGGTGAGAAGGAGCAAGAAGGGAAGGACAAGTATTTTGGATAGAGAAAGCAGTATGTGTACTTGACCTATGGCAAGGGAACAAGGACAGGTCAATGTAAGTGGAGCACAGGGGAAGAGAATATGTGTGTTTGGGGAATGGGGTCTCATTGCCAGGACCAGGAGAGAATATCAAATCCCTGAAGTCAGTGACAGCTGTGTGGTCCAGCTCAGTCCTCTCCCATTAGCAACTGCTCCTTCCCATGTGGGCCTGTGGGCTGTGGGAGCACTTACTCCTGGGCAGGTTGGGGCCAAGAGAGGGAAGTGGAAGGGGAATCATTTAAACTATTTAAGAAGTGTCTTGCAGGGGTGCCATTTTGTTTGGGGGCACCTTAGGGGGCTCAGCTTTCAGGAAAGAAGGGTCTAGAAGTGGGGCAGGGCTCTTTAATAGAGGCTAGAGAAAGGAGCCAAGATCTCCCTACTGAGCTGGGTAAAGAGACATCTCTCCCCAGCCTCACTTTCTCCTCTAGATGTGCTTCCTGGTGCAGACCTCCACAGAAGCCCCAAGTTCTGGTGTAAGGGGAGAGTATGAGGCACAGCCTAGTCAGGGCAAGGTGATCCCACAGCACACTGGGGGTGGGGTGGTGATTTAGGTTGGGAGTGTGGAGTAAGTCAGGTCTCTGGTAGGCTTGAAAGCATGTGCTATTGCTAATATTTAATAGCCCCTCTCAGGCCCAGATTCTTGAGAATGGCCTGCTGTGCTGGTAGAGCCTTTTGTTCGCAACTCTTGCCATCCTGGAGGGCCTACAGGGACCTGGGGAGATGGACTTGGGACAGTGGATTTTTGCCAGTGAATTCCAAAGCACTTGGCTTGCTGAAACACTGTGGGGGGGCTGCCCTGCCCAGCTGGTGGAGCCCTGGGGAACCCCTGCTGGCCTGGATTGGGGGGACTGCGGCGGGCTGGGGGGGAGGGGCGCGCGCGCGTGCGTGCGTGCGTGCGTGTGTGTGTGTGTGTGTGTGTGTGTGTGTGTTTACGGGGTCAGGTGCGGGCCAGCCTGCCTTGCTGACTGCTGTTTCCCTGTAGGTTCTCCCGCTCAGATGAACTGTCTCGCCACCGGCGTTCACATTCAGGCGTGAAACCCTACCAGTGCCCCGTGTGTGAGAAGAAGTTTGCGCGGAGTGACCACCTGTCCAAGCACATCAAGGTGCACCGCTTCCCTCGGAGCAGCCGCTCAGTACGCGCCGCCAACTGACCCCCGCCCCCATCCCCACCCACCCACACAACCATTACCACTGCCGTCCACCGCTCCCCATCACTGGGATTGCCCAGATATTTTGTAGCAATAATTTATTTGCCTTCTTCAGAGGGACATGACCATGTTACCAACCCAGGAGCTAGGGTTGGTATGGGAAGAGAGGGTTGGCCGGGGAGGCAGGAACCCGGAGTCCCCCACCTGCTGCCTTTCCTGGGGAGACCCAGCCCCTGACCTGGAGGCCGGCCTTTGTGCCTTTGTGCCTTCGTGCCTTCCTGCGCTGCTGCACAGGCCTCAGCTGCAGTGTTTGGGGGCCTGGCCCTTCTCCCACTGGGCTCTCTGCCTGGGCCAGGGCCAACACTTTATTGCCCAGGAAGATGAAATGCTCAGTTTTGAAATGTCAGTTCCCACAGGGAGCCACACTGGGAAAAAGGAAGTAGGCCAAAAGTCCTGGGTTGCACTGTGGCGTGCAGGTGGCTTTATCCAAGATCCTTCGCTCAGCCTGACCACCACAAAGTATGGGTGAGGCTGTTAGGGGTGAAGGACCTGGCCTCCTGGTGGCTGTGGGATTGGAGTGATAAGGCCCCTTTTTGGGGGTGGGCTGACAGTGCATGTGCTTCAGTTAAATGTGCAGGGCAGGCAGACAGATGCAGGCTAGCCCCAGAGCATCTGTACCCAGTGTGGCTCGTTCCCTCATCCTGTTTCTGGACAGCAGCCTCTAGGGTCACCTTTCAGAAGGAGAGGGGAACAGGCTCCATAGCATGTAGAAGAAGCAGATAGAGCCCCCAATCCTGAATTAGAAATGCATTCCTTATTTTGTCTAGAAATTAATATCAAATGAACTAGCTTGTTTTGACAGGTTTATTTCACATCCTATGAATGTATGTAAATAAACTGTATATAGGTACATCTACATAAAATATGTTTTAATAACATCAGCATTTGTGTAAATTTGGAATTTTAAAAATCTATAAAGCTAGTGTATATATGTTACAATTATGTATATTTTCTTTGGTCCTTCATAAAAATATATTTACTTTGCCAATAAAAAGAAAAAGGAACTCAGTAACAAGTAACTTGATGATATTCATGCACTGTTTCTGGTCTGCCAGGAAATGGGGGGTGATTCCAGGGGCCAAGTCTCAGGGTACCTTGAGGTTTGTACCCAAAAAGTATACAAAGGCACCTTTGGGGTCAAGCCCCTGGTCCAATGGTGCAGAGTTTCCACACAGCTCCACTTTTGAGCTGGCTGTTTGTTTTTTGCTTATTGCAGTTACCCAGAGGGCCAGGAGCTGCCTCTCCTCTTCTCTGTACAACCTCAAATCCAAATCCTCTCCATGTGTCACACATGGGAAGCCACTGCAGGCCAGGCCAGGCCCACAGGGGTCACTACTCCTCTTATTTACTATTGGAGACTCTTGCTTGGCACTTTATACTTTCTATGCACTGTGAAGTCCATGAAACATTTATTGGGCACCTACTGTATATACTGGGCAAAAGTGGGTGGCGGATCATTTCCCCTCCTGGACTCCCCTAGGAAATAGCATATTCTCACACACATGGGTGACAGTGAATGGATTAGGAGACTTGACCAGACAGAGGGCTGGTGTATGGAGTTCAGCCACCACCTCCATCCTCCCCAGCCGCTTAGAGCTCTGAGGAGACTAAACTTCCCAAACTCCTCTAGATGCTTCAGGTCTCTTTGAGCACATGCACAGTTGGGGTTTGGACACATGCTGGCAGGCTGGGGTCAGCGATGATAGGGACCGAGGAAGAAGGAAAGGCCATGAGCTAGTGAGGTAGGTAGGAAAGACCAGACTCTGGCCACAGTTCTTCTGTCATGTGAATCAGGAGGTGAGGACCTTCCAGAGGTGACGTCTACCCAGGACACTGATGCAAGTCAGGGGAAGTGTGTCTCAGTGACGTCCCCAGAGACTAACCCTGTGCCTGGGGAAAGGACTCAATCTATGACTTTTGCCCTTGGCTCCTGACCAGATATACCCTCTGTGGACAAACATGCTCTGGGGAAGTGAGGCATTGCTGTCCAGGCACATTAACATAGCCTTTCTTCATCCATAACAAGCAATGCAGCCCGGATAGGAGGGACACCAGAGGGCAGGACAGTCACTTTGGAGCAGTCTGTGTACACATGAATCCATGATGTGGGGCATTGACCCAGGACCTCACTCCTCTCATCTCACTGGATGTCCCCAACTGCCTGCTTACTCCAAAGCTAGGTGGGTCATGTGTGCTGGGATGGTCCAAGCCATCATCCTCAGTCTGGCTCCAGACTCATACAATGTGTGGGTTTGCACCCATGTCATGCACCGTGGGTGGGCAGCACAGCAGTGTGAACTGGGCACGGAGGGAAGGGGACTGCTTCTTGATCTTCACTCCCCCTACTTTGGGTGGGTTTCTTAAACTTCTCTAGGTTTCAGCTTCTTCACCCTGCAGAAAGGGGATGAAAGTCCTCAGGTCACAGCATGGTGGGGAGGGGTAAAGGAGAGTGCATGTGTGACTTTGAACAGTAACAAGGACCCTTTCTAGGTTGTGAGCCTACCTCAGATCACATGGAGAGCCTGGGGAGGCAGGGCTCTGGTCTTGTACTGCAGCCAATGCCACTGCAGCATGACGCATGGGAGCATTGGGAGTTCTGTTGAGGCACCTAGCTTGTCTCCTGCCCCTGGGAGACTCCCATGCCACCACTTTTGCCACTGGAAGAGGAGTATTTGTCTTGGTCTGCCAGCCAAGAAGCAGATGGAGATGTGAGCCAATGTGCCCACAATTGGTTTGTAATAGCGGAGCAGTCTGGAAGCTTTAACCCCCTGGTACCCCACCTTGCACGATATTACTTCCCAAAGGTACACAGAGTGGAGGAAATACTATTTATTGAGCACTGGTCAACTTTACTGGTTAGCCTGCTATAACAAAGAAGCCCTACTCCAAACATTGTCACTTACATAATGCAGAAGTTTATTTTTCTCTCTGTAAACATTCTGAAAGTAAGCAGTCCAGGCTAATATGGTGGCAGTTCCAGTGTGGGGCACTTGGCCTCTATCTGGTTGCCTTCCATGCTTGGACCTATGGTATTGGTACAAGATGGCTCACTGGGGTACTGGGCCAGCCTGCAGAAAGCCAGCAAGGGGCTATGTGTCCCCTCTTTTCCTGCAAGGTCAAAGGCTGGTATTTGCACAGTCCTGATCACTCATGTCCCATTTGCCAGAACTTAGTCACACAGCCTCATCTGCTGCAAGGAAAGCTGGAAAATGTAGTCTCAATATGGAGGTTATTATGGGCACAGCTAAAATTTGGGTGTTCTATTACAGTAGAAAGGAGGGGAGAGTAGGTGTTGAGTTTTCACTGCAAACACAACTGCCGTGGTTTGGTGTTGAGCCTGGTGCCATGCACACAGCATTCTGTTCACCTCTCAAAACCCTTCCCTGCAGCATGCATAAGGCGTAGTAGAGTGCGTGGGTTCAGCCCACCCATGGCTTTGTCCACATTCTCAGAATAGGTGTTACCAGCAGGTATGGAGCCAACTATCAAGCAGTGTGTCATGAAGGGAAATCCTGTGGGAACAGAGGAACTCCGGTGCTTTGGTTGACAAGCAAAGACTGCAAATGATAGAATCCTGACTCATAGGGACAAAAGTAAACCCCCAGAAAAACCCTTAGAAAGTCACCAGTGTCTACCATTCAATAGGTTCCAGAATCTCTAAAGTGTCATAGAGGTTAAGGGGACAGAGGGCTTCTAGAGAACTGTAACTTCTTTTTTTTTTTTTTTTTTAATATTTATTTACTTTTATAGAGAGGGGAAGGGAGTAAGAAAGAGAGGGAAAGAAACACCAGTCAGTTTCCTCTCACATAACCCCAACTGGGGACCTGGCCCACAACCTAGGCATGTGCCCTGACTGGGAATCAAACCAGCAACCCTTTGATTCACAGACTATCATTCAATCCACTGAACCATACCAGCCAAGGCTGGAAACCACCTATTTTTAATGCTTCATTTGTTCAAAGCATCAAAGACTTAGGCAGCGGGTATAGGGAGAAACTGCTGGGAATGGGCATGTTATGCTGCTCTTGATGAGGGTCTTGGAACATCACACAAGAGGACCAATCATGGGGACAAAGTTAGTTGTTTCTGTAATGAACACCAAGTCTGAACAGACCTTGCTTTATTTGACGTTAGGCAAAGATGACTAATACCACAGGGCCTGTTAAAAGATTGAAGGTGGAGGCAAAAGGAGCAGCATGCAGAAGATGCAAAGAAAGTGTACAACTCATAGGTCCACTACAGGACCCAGAAAAGCATCTTTGGAAATTTCCTGTTATTTTCAACAGGTTAAAGCTCCTGGGAGGCCACAGAGGAGCCATGGCTGAAATAGATGAGAAACAGGATGGGGAACAGAGAGAGTTGGAAGGGATGAGGGAGTATCACAAGGGAACAAAAATTGCAACAGCAGAATTAAAATATGCCTTGGAGAGAGCAACAGGGGGGAGGTAAGGCAGGCTTCTGAGGGCTGCCGTGGTGTACCAATTCATGTGGATCCCAGAACCCAGCGAGGAAGGAAGGATGAAAATGGGACAGATAGGTATGGAGGGCTGGAAACATAAAACCAAGGGCTAGATACTGCGGGTTCTGGATCAGACTCCAGAAAAAATAGCATATGTACTAATATTGCAGATTATATATAACATACTAATATGTAACATATAAAAATATGTTAATATGTAACATATATCATACCAACACACAACACACCAGTATTTAACATATAACATGCTAATATGTAACATAAAATATATGAGTATGTAACATATATACTAATATGTAATATAACCTATTAATAGAAAACATATACAAATACAATTATAACTATATATAATTAAATAATATATAACCATATACACACATGATGTAAGTAGAGGACTGGGAAAATACCCTATCAGTGCAGGAGAACATAGCAGATGGGTCCTGGAGGCAGAAGCTTGGAACTGAGCGCACATGAGCTCTGTTGGCCTCTCTGAACTTCAGAGCACTTATGTGAAACCAGTGTGACTACGCTGATTCCCCAGGCCTTGTGAAGAGGAAGTAAGTTAGCATATTTAAAATAGCAAACCCATTGCATGAAGAATAAGAGGCCACAGTGATGAGGCAGAAAGGAGGAAAATGTGAAAACTAAAGAAGAGCCTCCTGCTAGAGAACCACATCTACGATAAAGACATGAAAGCTCAAGGGCAGCTCACACCTCCAAAGGTCAGGCCTAGGTGGGAAGGGACACCTGGGGACCTTGCAAGAAGGAACCCCTCATGGAGTGGGGTCTAGACTGAGAACATGTAAACTTTCAACCACCATTGGCCCTTTCTCATCTTGGCTCATCTGCTCCAATTCTGGGAGCCTTGAAGATGTGAGGACACATCAGTATTGCTGTCTCCATCTGTTTCCAATATCTGGTTCTTGAACTGGACCTCAACTCTGAGCTGAGCTAATATTTACATAATATAACATACACCTATACTAGACAGAACATAAAATATGTAACATATACTAATTATAATACAATAATATAATATATAACTATAGCTAAATAACATAAACTACATACACACATATAGAGTTTAAATTACACATCTATGTTACATACTGTTATTTATACTTTGTTTATTTTTAAAAAGATTTTATTTATTAATTTTTAAAGAGAGGGGAAGGGAGGGAGAGATGGAGAGAAACATCAGTGTGTGAGAGAAACATCCATTGGTTGCCTCTCCTAAGTGCCCTGACCAGGGACCTAACCCACAACCCAGCTATGTGCCATGTCTGGGAATCAAACCCATGACATTTTGCTTTGCAGGATGATGCCCAACCAACTGAGCAACATTGGTCAAGTCTGTTATTTATAATTTAAATAATAGAACTATATTATATATTCTATAAGTAAAGATTATAACTACATCTAACCACTACCTTCTCTGTGAGTCATTCAGGGACTTACTTTTTGTGTCTGTCCCCTCTGTCACCTTGCAAGCATTTTCCTCTTCTTCTTGGAACTTCAAATTCCCTGACGTTTTC